AGGGTCTTGCTATGCATTTAGAGCTGGCCTTGAGCTCACTTTGTAGCCCAGGCTGGTCTCGGAATTCATAATGATCCTCTTGCCTCAGGCCTCCCAAGTGCTGGGATTACAGGTGTGCACCACTCTACTGTCACTTGTGTAAACAAGTTTTTTATGCCGTTTGTGCTATCTTCTGATTTTTCACTAACTTGAATTAATCTTAGATTAGTCTTCTATGGGAAGGTATCTCTGAGTCACTGACATCAGTCGATTATCTTGTAGGTCTGACACTCTGGCTTTACTTCTGCTGCCCATACTTTCCATGCAGGTGCTTGAATGTTTTTTTGGTTTGTTTTTGGTTTGGAACCAGGAATCAAACTCAGGGCCTTGTGCTTGCCAGGCAGGTGCTTGTACCATTGAGCTATATCTCCAGCCACATACTTCTGATAGAATTTGGTATCTTTTGGATGTGTTTTGTATGCTGTCATGAACTCTAATTCTTCGCTAATGTGGTTATTCACATTTTTTTATTGTTCTCAGCTTTTTCCTTTTTCTTTTTTTTTGAAACAGGGGTTCTCTATGTAATTCATGTTGGATTTGATCTCTCACTATGTAGCCCCTGCTGGTCTTGAACTTGTGGTGATCCTCCTGCCTCACCTTCCTGAGTGCTGGGATTATAGGCATGTTCCGCTATCTCCGGCTCAGATAGATTTTTATTAATTTGTGCTGTAAGCTCAGTGAATATTGTGTTTATTAAGTCTGTTTGTTGATGCGTATAATCTTTGAGCTTGCTAAGCACCTTATGATGTTGGAGTTTTTTTTGTGAATGTATGTGTGTTTTATCATTTTGTTTAATTCAGCTGTTCAGCTTGATTTCCTCCTATTGATGCCCCATGGATCAACTTTTTGGGAGTAGGAAGTTTTGAGAGGCATTTTATTGCCTTGTTTTCTCATGTCTGTGTGTGTTTGCGTATATGTGCACCCGCGCATGCGTATTGGTGCATGCCTTGGGGGTTGTCAGTCGATTATAGTTGAATGACTTTGTTGGTAGCATGGAGATCTCTTTAGTTAGTATGTACTTTCAGTGATGTTCTCTGGGCATGCCTAACACTAGGCCTTTGCCTATGTCTCAAGATCTGATTGCCTCCCTTAATTCAGGAAGAGGAGGCTACAGCGTAATCACCTAGCACCCAGTTCTCTGGAAATGGATGGTAGTATTTTTGATGTGAAATAGACAAACCTGTCCTCAGTCAGGAAATCTTAATAGCTCCCTCTTCAGTATAAATCCAGAGTCCACCTGCCAACATGATGTGAGCAGCATCTTAGTATGTGTGCTGCCCAAGCAAGCACATGAGCCACCACCTTGCCCACCCGCAACCTCCTTGACTCCCAGACTCTACATTAGCCTCCAAGTGGTCTCCTTCTACTCTGCAAAACTCAGCAAGCAGAGTGTTCTTTTTAAAATATCAGGTAAACATAAGCTACTGCCCTATTCCAGTGGCTCTCATGTCAATAAATAAAACTCATGTGCCGGGCATGGTGGCGCATGCCTATAATCCCAGCACTCGGGAGGGTGAGGCAGGAGGATTGTTGCGAGTTCAAGACCAGCCTGGGCTGCAAAGTGAGTTCAAGCCAGCCTGAACTGCATAGTGAGACCCTGTCTCAAAAAAAACCAAAAACCAAAAAACAGAACTTCCTACCTAACTAGAGTCCACTCCCAGTCCCTTCACCCTGCCCTGTTTTTTGTTCTAAACATACTGGCCACTTTTTAATGTACCACATAATTCTCTTCTCATTTATCAGTTACTCTTTGGAGCTATTTATACATTTCTCCGCAGCTGAGTCTCCCACGGGGACAGAGACTTTCTCCCTTTTTTTTATTGTTCACTGATGGGCCCCAGAGTCCTAAAACAGTGCCTGACACATAGTAGCTATAAAATATTTGCTTAATCAGTACATGAATTCTGTGTAAGGGAATTTATGTGAACATTTCCTGTGAATTTCAGAGAAATAATAATAAAAAGGTAAGAGAAGTTTAATAAGTATAAATTTTGAATTATAGCTTTTCTTACATTGCAAGCTCCAGATGTGTTTTCCTTTTCTAAATTTTCAGCGTCAGTTGTGGAAGGTCAAAAGGGTATCATTCCTCGAGCGATCCAAGAAATATTTCAAAGCATCTCTGAAAATCCTAGCAGTGACTTTAATGTAACAGTATCCTATGTGGAAGTATACAAGGAAGACCTGAGAGATCTTCTAGAATTGGAGACTTCCATGAAGGAGCTGCACATCCGAGAAGATGAGAAAGGAAACACAGGTGAAGTAGCCTCCCTAATTGATCATCTTCATAAAACAGACATGCCTCATTTTTGGTTTCTGCTTGTGTTCCAGACTTTTAAAAACAGACAGCCAGGGATATAGCTCAGTAGTACAAGTACCTGCCTGGTAAGCGCAAGGTCCTGGGTTTGATCCCCGGTACCAAAAAAACAAAAAAAACCTCCCAAAATAAAAAAAATTACAAAAAAATAGACAAAAAAATTGGGCATGGTGGCACACACTTATAATCACAGCACTTGGGAGGTTGAGGCAGGAGTATTACTGTAAGTTCGAGTTCAGGGCCAGCCTGGGCTATCTAGTGAGTTTGAGGCCAGCCTGAACTATGTAATGAGACCTTGTCTCAAAAAACCAAAATAAGTTTAAAACAAAACAAAACAAAACAAAGGAATACAATGAAGTTTTAAAAATTTTTACTTATTTTTAGTTTATTATTATTATTATTTTGTGGTGCTGGGGATCAAACTCAAGGCCTAATCCATGCCAAGCAAGCACTCTGCCACTGAACTGTACTGCTAGTGCCTTGTCACCAGTCATTCAGCTTGTCATCAGTCTACTTAAGTTACTCAGGTGGTACAGTAGTTTTGTAGACTGACTGATAAAGTGAGGTTATTAATTTGTAATTCAAGATGTTGATTTTCTATAATAGCTACTCTGACCTCAAGTGGAACTGTGAGCTCCTCTTTATTTATTGTGGCACTCGGAATTTAACCCAGAGTCTTTGCACTGAGCTATATCCCCAGGCCTCTTTTCTTTCTTTCCTTCTTTTTTTCTTTTTCTTTTCTTTTCTTTGTTTGTTTGTTTGTATTTTGAGTCTGTCTCGCTATGTAGTTCATGTTGGCTTTGCACTGTGTAGCACAGGCTGGCCTTGAACTCATGGTGAATCTCCTGCCTCAGCCTGGGATAAACAGGCTTGCGCCACCATACCTGGCTCTTTCATGTTTTATTTTGAGATGGGCTCAAATTGCTAAGTTGCCTAGGCTGGGTTTAAAGTTAGGATCCTTCTGCCTCAGCCTCCCAGAGTACTGGGATTACAGGTATGTGCCACCATACCCAGCTTTACATATATGATTTTTTCACTCCTAGCTACTCTGAGATTGGGGATAGCTTTTGCCTTTAGGTGTTTGTACAAATTCATCCCAAACTCTCTTAGATTTCTGTCTTACTGCATCTATTTCTTTGTCCTTTTTTTTTTTAATTTTATTTTTTTTGAGACAGGATCTCAGTATACAGTTCAAACTGGTCTTGAACTCACTTTGTAGTCCGGGCTGGTCTCAAACTTGCAACGAACCTCCTGCTTCAGCCTCCCAAGTACTGGGTTTACAGGCGTGCGCCCGGCTTTGTCCTTTTTTTTTTTTAAAGTTTATGATTTTGCTACTCAGTACTGACATCCTTCATTATATGTCTCAAAGTCTGATTTTCTGTGCTAGTAAGCTATTAACCTCATATATTAATACACATTTGCTTGCAAATGGGAGATTAAATAAGGTCAAAATGCAAAATTTTAAAGAATAATAATTTCTGTTTTTCTGATTTAAAAGCTAGTATTTTTGCTGGGCAGGGTAATCCCAGCACTCGGGAGGCTGAGGCAGGAGGGTCATTGCGAGTTCAAGACCAGCCTGGGCTACAAAGTGAGCTCAAGGCCAGCCTGAACGGCAGAACGAGACCTTGTCTCAAAGAAAAAAAAAACAAAACCAAAACAAAAGCTAGTATTTTCGTCATAGAACATTTTGAAAGCATAGAAAACTCAGTGAGAAAGTTAAAGATTGTCTTTGATCTTAGATCCTAGAAATACCTATGTGTGGTCATAAACCACCCGGCCTGCTGTGCTGAGTCTCAAACCCAGGGCCTTGTGCATACTAGGCAAGCTGTCTCCCAATGGGCTACAACCCCATCCTGCAGTTTCTCTCTTTGGCATGTTTCCTTCCAAATTTATTTGTCTGTGTACATAAATTTTTTTAAAAAAATATGTATTTACCTCCTCACATATAGTTTTTCACTTATTTTTCACTTAACAAGTATATTGTGAGCATTTTCACATGTCATTATTTTTAGTGCTTGTAACTATTGTCCTGTGGTAACTTCTCTGATGAATGTGTCATAACAATGTAGCCAATATTCCATTGTGCCTCATCTAGGCCATTTCCAGGTTTTAACTATTATTAATAGCATTGCAAGACTGTTCTTGGCTGTCCTCCTCTCCTGGGAGACACATTTAGTTGAACCTTCTTGGAGATCTTGCCAGAAGAATAATTCCCTGGGCAGAATTTCTTAGGATTTAGGAAAGTAAAATGCTGTCACTTTCATTATCAATCTGTAGGGGAGAGTAAATCTTAAATTCTATTTATTATTATTTATTATTATTATTTTTGAGACAGGGTTTCACTACGTAGTCCAGGCTGGCCTTGAACTCACTATGTAGCCCAGGCTGGCCTCAAGGCACTCTCTTGCCTCAGCCTCTCAAGTACTGGGATTACAGATGTGTGCCACCACACTTGGCTCCAAATCTTGCTTTCTTCTAGTTCTCCCAGCAGCCCTGGCATTCCTGGAAGTTTGAAGAAATTGGCTTTTGTCTTGTTTTTTAGAAAAAAGTGAACTTGGTAGTTTATAGTTTCTTTATGTAATTCAGTAGTTTATCTCTTTGGGTAGAATTCAGACTGATGTTTTGACCTTTGAATCTTACGGAATGTAATTATTGAATGTTTTTATCTTTTTTGCCTGAAATAATGTATGCTTATTATAAAGCATTAATGTAAAAGTGTACATTACTACTCATAATAAACTAGATGTTCAAAATATTCCAAAGCTAATATCAATCCTGCAGAAATTTTGGACAGACATAAATTACCTGAAGACAAATTGCTGTGTATTTCATATAGTATTCTATTCAACCAAAATGCGTTGGTTTGACAAATTTCTTAAGTCCTTCTCTGAAGCAATAATGTCTACTTTAAAAATACTGATTTCTTTCTCCCCACTTCCTAGAGATTCTGATTTAATTGGTCTGGGATGGGACCTAAGCATCGATACCCTTTTTTTTTTTTTCTGTTTTTTAAAAATAAAGCCAGGTGACTCACAAATGGATTTGAGAATCAGTGAAGAGTTATAGTGTATTTTAACTATGATTTACAGTTAATTGCCATATTATATAAACCCTCATATTTTAGTACTGCCTGTTTGTACTATAGGTTCCTTATAACTTGAACTGAACTTGGTTGTTAAAAAGTATCATGTTGGAAATACCCTGGTACTTTGGTGCAGGAATACTTTTGTTTGCAAACAATTTGGTTTACAAACAGAAGCTTTTGGCCAGTTTTTTGTTTCCAAAGTCTACACTGGGTGACAGACATGACCATAGCAAACATGACCATAGCTATCTTTCCCACACAAATACAAACACAAATGTGGCTGTCTTTTCTAAAATTGTGAAACAAATTAAATCTGTGAACTGAGGCACCATTATAATATAAGTGAAATGATCATTTTTCAGAGGAACAGTGACCTGGCAGGGGTATGGTGTGGGTCCCCCAAGACACTACTTCAAGCAAGGAACCAGGAGCTTTATTTCTCTGGCTGAAATCACAAATCTATTTTTTCCTTTAAAAAAGTGTTTCAGTATAATTAATGCAGTTAGTAAGTGTAAATTACATTTGAATTATTTATTGTGCTTTTGAAGTAGGAAGTTTTTTGCTTTTTTAAAATTGCCTTCTCTGTTATCGTATACTCTGATATTATACAGGACATATCTGTTTTTAAAATAAATGACCTTGCCAGGCATGGTGGCTTATGCCTGTAATCCCAGCACTTGGGAGGCTGAGGCAGGATGATTGCTATGAATTGGAGGCCAGATTTAACTACACAGTGAGACCCTATCTCTCAAAAAACCCCACCTATTTTATTTATATTGAAATCTTCATTTAAGCATTGCTTATGACTGTACAATACAAAAAACCTTAAGCCAAGGGTGAGTTGAATATTAACAAAACTGAAAAGAAACTAATTTCTTTTAATGAATTTACTACTGATTAACTTTTGATTTATATATTTAGTTAATATAGTGTTAATTAATTTATAAGTCAAAGTATTGAAATAAGGAGGTGCTTGTTTGTTTGTGTTTGGTGCTTGAGGATTGAGTTAGCACATGCTTAACCACTGATCTACACCTTCAGCACAGAGTTTTTCTGTTGTCGGTCATTTTAAAGAATAAAGAGTGGTGTCTGACTCTAGAGCAACTAAGTCTTTTTAAAAGAGAATTACATCTTTTAAACATCAAAATTAATGCTATTAAAATGACTCTTTTCAGAGATTTTCTAAAACTCACAATGTAAACTGGGCATGGTGGCACACACCTGTAATCTCAGCACTTGGGAGGCTGAGGCAGGAGGATCGTTGCAAGTTCAAGACCAGTGTGGGCTACAAAGTGAGCTCAACTCTGTCTCAAAAAAAAAAAACAAAAAAAACAGGGTCTCGCTATGCAGTTCACGCTGGCCTTGAGCTCACTTTGTAGCCCACCCTGGTCTCAGACTTTCAACGATCCTCCTTCCTCAGCTTCCCGAGTGCTGGGATTACAGGTGTGCGCCACCATGCCCGGCTTGAGACTCTGTCTCAAAAAGACAAAAAGAAAGGTTTAAGGCTGGGGAGATAGCTCAGTGGCACAGCACCTGCCTGGCAAGTGTGAGGTCGTAAGTTTGATTCCTGGTACCAAAACAGAAAAACCAAACAAACCAGTATTGCTGATGTTACTCTTGTTTGCAATGCTGTTGATCTGGTTTAAAGGACTGTGCTGGGCTCTTAAGCAAATGATAACTGTTGTGTGGTTTATTTACTATACTGGATTTGATGCAAACCTCGTTTTAAAACTTGCTGTTGCTGTTTTAAGTGATTGTTGGGGCCAAGGAGTGCCATGTGGAGAGTGTGGATGAAGTGATGAGTCTCCTGGAGATGGGGAATGCAGCTCGACGCACAGGGACCACCCAGATGAACGAGCACTCCAGTCGCTCGCACGTGATTTTCACCATCAGTATCTGTCAGATGCAAAGAAATCCGGAGGCGGGTGAAGATGGATCATGGTGCACCCATCGGCGTATTGTCTCAAAGTTTCACTTTGTGGATTTGGCTGGATCGGAAAGAGTAACCAAAACGGGAAATACAGGTGAACGGTTCAAAGAATCCATTCAAATCAACAGTGGGTTGTTGGCTTTAGGAAATGTGATAAGCGCCCTTGGGGACCCACGCAGGAAGAATTCACATATTCCATACAGGGATGCTAAAATTACCCGGCTCCTGAAGGATTCCCTGGGAGGCAGTGCCAAGACTGTCATGATCACGTGTGTCAGCTCATCCTCCTCAGATTTTGATGAGTCCTTAAATTCGCTCAAGTATGCCAACAGAGCACGGAACATTAGAAACAAGCCCGCTTTGAACTTTAGCCCTCAGTCAGACCGTGTGGATGAAATGGAATTTGAGATTAAGTTGCTTCGAGAAGCTTTGCAAAGCCAGCAGACTAGTATCAGTCAAAGTAGCCAGATGCCCCAAGAGGGCACACTTGGTAAAAATAGGATCCATTCTCTGGAAGAACAAGTAGCTAAGCTACGAGGGGAATGTCTGGGTTACCAAAATTGTATAGAGGAAGCCTTTACCTTCCTGATGGACTTAAAAGATGCCGTCAGATTAAACCAGCGGCAGCAGCACAAACTGCAGGAGTGGTTTAACATGACTCAGGAGGTCAGGAAGTCTGCCTTCACCTCACTCCGAGGAAGCCCAGGCGTTGGAAACCAAGAAGGACCCCAGCATAGCACAATTCTCCAACTGAAGAGAGAGCTTAAGAAATACCAGGTACATGACATCACTTTTATGAGTAATAAATTCGAGGACTACGTTTGTTAGGTGTGTAAATTCTAAGTCATATTGGAACATGAGAATTTTGAGAAAGATTATCTGTTAAATCTCATTTGCCTTTCTCTGACTCTTTTTCTTTCAACCCTGTCTTTTCCTGTGGCTTCTTCCTCACAATTTTACTTTTGTTGACTTTTCCTTCTCTCCCATTTGATTAAAGTGTATTTTAATGTCTTATATTTATTAACTGGAACTTTATGGACCCTTCTATCACTTTTAAGGGATAAAAAGGAACACATTTTCGGAAACAAAATTATGTTTCACTGAGTTTTCCTCCCTTTAGGGGTTCTGTGGTTCTTTTTTTTTTTTTTTTTTTTTTTTGGTTTTTTTCCGGTACCGGGAACCGAACTCACAACCTTGCGCTTGCCAGGCAGGCGCTTTGTCACTGAGCTAAATCCCCAGCCCCGGTTCTGTGGTTCTTTTTTCCTCCTGGTACTGTGGCTTGAACCCAGGGACGGCCTTGCACATGTGAGGCAAGCACTTTAGTGCTGAGCTACATCCTGGCCCTTTTATTTCATTATTTGAGACAGGGACTCATAGTGCCTGCTTGGTGAGTGTGAGGTCCTGAGTTTGAGTCCCGGTAACTGCCCCCTTCCCACCTGCACCAAGAAAAAAGAGACAGGGACTAAGTTGCTCGGGATGGCTCGGACTTGCAATCCTTCTATCTCAGTCTCTGGGGTTAGGTATGAGCTACTATGCCCATTGGATTTTTTTTTTTTTTTTTTGTCTTTTTGAAACAGGGTTTCCTTATGCTGCACACGCTGAACTCTATGTTGCAAAGATGAGATTGCAATATTAATTAAAGTTTGAGGGAATGGAGTGTAGTATTTGGACATGTGCCCATTGGGTTTTTTTTTTTTTTT